AGGAAGATTAGCCCTCAGCTAACATGTATGCCAGTCTTCCTCTATTTTGTATGTGGGATGCCACCACAGCATGGCTTGATGAGCAGTGTGCAGGTCCATGCCCGGGATCTGAACCTGCAAACCCAGGCTGCCAAAGTGGAGCATGTGAACTTAACCACTACACCACTGGGCCGGTCCTGAATACAAATTTTTTAAATTAATTGATTGTTTCAACAAAAATAATAAACTAATGTGAGGTTTATACATATGTACAATGAAAATGTATGATAAAAATAGCACAAAGACCAGGAAGGAAGAAATGGAAGTCTGCTCTTGTAAACTTCTCATATTCTACATGAAGTGATATAATATCACTTGAAGGTAGACTGTGAGAAATTAAAGATATGTGATACAAACCCTAAACCACCACTAAAATGACAACACAGAGTTTTAGCTAATAAACCACAAAGGAGATGAAATGGAAACATCAGAAATAGTCCAAAAGGAGATAGTAGGAGAGGATGCACCTTAAAATAATTATGCTGAGTGAAAACATATTGTATGATTCCATTTATATAAAAATCTAGAAAATGCAACTAATCTATAGTGACAGACAGCAGATCAACGGTGGCTGGCGGGGTGGGGGCGGGATACAAAGGACATGAGAGAATTGGGGGTTATGGATGTGTTCACCATCCCGATTGTGCACACCATCCTGACTGTGCGCACTAACCTGACTGTGTGCACCATCCCGATTGCAGTCTATGGTTGCATGGGTGTATAAACATGTCAATGCTTATCAAATTGTAGACTTTAAATATGTGCAGGTTATTGTATGGTTGTTATACCTCAATAAGGCCTTTTTTTAATAATCCGGTGTGTTGGGAGGTATTATTATTGCCATTTTACGGGTGAGGAAATGTAGGCCCAATAGCTTAATGAACTTCCCCAAGGTCACCAGCTAGTAAGCGACAGGTTGGAATCCACACCTTGGGCATCTGGCTCTGGAGCCCATGCCTTCACCTCTGCACCTCCTGCCCTCCTCAGTTATGAGCTCGTTCAGCTTAGATCCGCGTCTGGTTCATCTTTGCCTCTTCTCCACCCCTCCCCGTCCCCTAGGTGCATCTCGCATTCCTTTGTATTATACATATTTGGTGCTCGTTAAATTTTTTTTCCTGGGTTAATGAGCAAAGGAGTAAATATGTTTTGTTTTGTGAACTTACTATGAAAGAGTAACCGTGGGAACAGGGATTTTGCCAGAAGACTAAGATCTGTAAAGAACTTTAGAGACTCAGCTTCTGAGCATTGCCATATAGAAGGAATCAGACACGGCTCTTGGGGTCCCATTCTCACAGGGCATTGCACAGTCTTGCGAGGACATCGGACTACCTGTAGAAGCTGTGTGTACTCAAGCTGAGTACAGCTGCTGGCCCTTGCAGAAGGCCCACGCAGAAGGCCCAGGCCCATGATCTGCAGTTACCATGGAAACCCATCAATGGGCAGGTAACTGTCACCTGGTTCTCCAAACTAGGGAAAGATTGGGGTCTAGTAGCAGCCTCTTGAGAACAAGACTTCTTGTTCCCTTTCAAGCAGGGACATGAACCTTTCTCCAAGAGGAGCTTTGTTTCCACACCATGGTTCTATGTGTTATTTCCTCCCGCCCCTGAGGTCGGTGGGCTTCTCTGTGAACCAGATATGCAGGCACCCACAGCGTATGTCTTTGCAGAACTACGTTCCGTTTGTAGTCCTTCCTCATCCCCCGAGGCCTGTTTCAGGCACCGCTTTCCCAAGAAGCCTTTGCAGGTCCTCCAGGCAGAATTGTCTTTCCCAGCCAACAACATCCACAAGGGGGCTATTTGCTTCCTTGGGGCACTTTTCCCTCTTCCCCACATCAGGGTTTTTCCTGAAGGACAGATCATAAAGATGAAATCTGAGCTTTTCAGACTGGGACTTGCGTTCCTCTGGGGGACACATGGACGGGCACAGGAAGGTTGTGCAGCCACGGGCGAAACCCGGGCCCTCATCTTCTGCCAACCTCTACTTCATGGAAATATTTTTCCTAAGCCAACTACTTTAACACTTCTGAATAAAAACATATGAGTATTAAAAATAGGTTACATGGCAGAAAACAAAATTCTACAAACTTTTCTTCAAAATTTTATATTATGGTAAAATAGATGTAACGTGAAATTTACTGTTTTAACCATTTTTAAGTGTCCAGTTCAGTGGCGTTAAGTATTCACATTGTTGTGCAACCATCACCACCATCCATCTCCAGACCTTTTTCATCTTCCCAAACTGAAACTCTGTTCCCATTAAACAGAAACTCCCCATGCCCCCTCTCCCAGCCCCTGACACCTACCTTTCTACTTTCTGTCTCTATGAATTTGACTACTCGAGGTACCTCATATAAGTGGAATCATTCAGGATTTGTCCTTTTGTGACTGGCTTATTTCGGTTAGCATAATGGCATCCATACTATAGCACGTGTCAGAGTTTCCTTCTTTAAGGCTGAATAATGTTCCATCGTATGGATAGACCACATTTTGTTTGCCCATTCATCTGTTGATGGGCACTTGGGTTGCTTTTACTTTTGGCTATTGTGAATAAAATCCCACAGACTTTTACAGGTAAAATGAAAGACTTCAATGAGATATTATGCATGTGCCGGCTACTTGTTGGTTTGTACTTTAACCCCCCGTGCAGGGGAGAGGAGTGCACATTTACAGGGACCTGTCTTTAGGGACTCAGGTGGTGAAGTCTGAGAAGCATTGGACTACATTGTTCACTGTAGCAATTTTTCTAGAGAAAGTATGAGGTCATGGTAGTAGATAAAAAATACATAGATGCCGAAATGAACTACTGAGTGGAGTAGATGAGTGGAGTGATCGGATTCACTGGGCTAGAGTCTACTGAGCCCCTTGGGGGCGGGGCACCGCCCGGAGGAGCTCTGTCCTAATGCGGTAAATGGTGTGGTGAGTGCCAGCATGGGAGAAGGGCATGGAATGAAGGAAACGTAGAGAAGAGAGTGACAAACAGGTACAGAGTGAGGATGCTTCAGAGGGGCTAGTTGGGAACCAGAGACCCAGAGGACAACTGGGAGAATTTCAGGAAGACGAGGATGCAGAGCGTTTCAGTCACAGCGCAAAGCTCAGACAGTAGACACAAAGAGCATGGTGTGTAGGGCCATGAGCGGTCAGGAAGGGTGGAGGTCCCAGGTGTGTGTGTGGTGGGATCGGGGGGAGGGTGTGTGTGTCAGAAGAACAGACCTTTCCAGGCATACCTTAGCGGGAGCAGCGGGGGAAGGGCCTCAGAGCCTGTTAGGAGGTTGGAACTTTCATCCTCTAGGATGGGGAGCCTTTCAATGATTTTGTGCTGGACAGCAGCACAGTTCGATTTACCTTGCAGAATGATCAGTGTGGAATGCACAGCTAGACTGCAAAAGCCCCGTAGAGTCTTTATGAGCAGAGATGCCCTTGTGGTCTTAAATTGCACATTGCAGATTCCAGCGCTTCTTCTCTGTACATATCTGGGGGGTACCTCAGAGTCCCGAATCAATGACTGGCTGCCAGAACGAAATCTGAAGGAGTGCCATTTGTTCCTTTGCCTTGCAGAAGCTCTTTAGTCTGATGTAGTCCCATTTGTTTATTTTTTCTTTTTCTTTGCCTGAGTAGACATGGTATTTGAAAAGATACTGCTAAGACCGATGTTGAAGAGTATCCTGCCTGTATTTTCTTCTAGGAGTTTTATGGTTTCAGGTCTTACATTCAAGTCTTTAATCCACTTTGAGTTAATTCTGTGTATGGTGTAAGATAATAGTCTACTTTCATTCTTTTGCACGTGGCTGTCCAGTTTTCTGAACACCATTTATTAAAGAGACTTTGCTTTCTCCATTGTGTGTTCTTGGCTCCTTTGTCGAAGATTAGCTGTCCATAGATGTGTGGTTTTATTTCTGAACAAAACAAAAAGACAACCCACCAACTGGGAGAAAATATTGGCAAATCATATATCCAATAAGGGGTTGATTTTCAAAATATATAAAGAACTCATACAACTCAACAACAAGAAAACAATGTGATCAAAAAATGAGCAGAGGATGTGAATAGACATTTCCCAAAGAAGATATACAAATGGCCAACAGGCACATGAAAAGATGTTCAACCTCACTAATTATTAAGGAAATCCAAATCAAAACTACAATGAGATGTCACCTTACACCCGTCAAAGAGTGGCTATAATTAACAAGGTGAGAAATAACAAATGTTGGAGAGGATGTGGAGAAAAGGGACCCCTCATACACTGCTGGTGGGAATGCAGACTGGGTGTAGCCACTATGGAAAACAGTATGGAGATTTCTCAAAAAATTAAAAATAGAAATACTGAAAGATCCAGCTATTCCTCCACTGATTTCATCCAAAGAACATGAAATCAACAATTCACAGAGGTTTATGCATCCCTATCTTCATCGCAGCGTTATTCACAATAGCCAAGATGTGGAAGCAACCCAAGTGCCCATCAACTGATGACTGGATAAAGAAGATGTGGTATATATATACAATGGAATGCTGCTCAGCCATAAAAATGACAAAATCACGCCATTTGCAGCAACGTGGATGGACCTTGAGGGTATTAGTTTAAGCGAAATAAGCCAGACAAAGAAAAACAAACACTGTCTGATTTCACTCATATGTGGAAGATAAGCAAACACATGGATAAGGAGAACAGATTGGTGGTTACCAGAGGGGAAGGAGGTGGGGAAAGGACGAAAGGGGTAAAGGGGCACTTGTGTATGGTGACGGCTAAAAACTAGACTATTGGTGGTGAGCACGACGCAATCTGTACAGAAACTGACATATAATAATGTACACCTGAAATTGACACAATATTGTAAGCCAATATGACCTCAATAAAATAATTTTAAAAAATAAAAAAATAAAAGTGTGCTATTTGTAAGTGGCATGCTCTCTCCTCCGCCCTCCCTCCACTTACCGCTCTCCCGTTTCTGGCTCTGGTCTCCCCAGGTTCGAGGAGAATTGCTGCGAGAGAGAGTGCAGCAGCTGGAGGCCCAGGAGAGTCGCTTTGCAGAGTCCCTTGTCTCCCTGCAGTTCCAGAAGGCAGCCAGGATGGCCAAGACCCTGTGCGCATACACTGCCCTCCTGAGCATCCAGGACCTGCTTCTGGAGGAGCTGAGTGTGTCGGAGACCCTGACCAAGTCAGCCTGCACGCAGATCCTGGAGTCGCACACCCCGGTGAGTGCCTGGGGAAGGGAGAAGGAGAGCCGGCACCAACACCCATGGGTTGTTTCTGGTGCTGCCTCCAGGCCTCCGTTTCACCTGTCCTGTCTAAGCCGCGGGATTAAGTGAGGTAATTTCTGTGGGGCACGTTGCACTCTTGAACCCAAGGCTGCTCTATTTCATTGCCTCTAAAAAGCAAACCTTTTGAACTTTAACCTTTTTAACATCTCTGAAACTAGGGTGCATCTTACAGTCAACAGCAGTATTGTCTCTTTGGTAGTGCTATGAAAAATAACAGTGTAGCTTTTAATTAATGGCACTTTAGATGCAATGAAATACTGGATTATTTTTTATTTTTATAATTCTAATATTTACCATTATTCCTACATGCTGCATTTTTTTTCACATGCAAGAGGTATATTCATAAAACAAAATCTATGGAAGTAACTGTTTTGAGGACTAATTTTAGGTCCTTTATGTGTAGATTTTAGTACTTCATAATTACTTATAGTGAGAAGAAGAAACTCGCATTTATTTAGTGCCACATGCAGCAGCAGGCAAGCACTAATAAGCTTTGAATGGACATACTCTCATTTAAGCATTAATGATTCTTAATCATGTGTCTTAAGATGATCATTTAAGCATGAGTAATAATTATTTGCAATTTTTCGCTGCTGTACAGTTTTGCTCTTTGTCATACATTATATCAATTAATTATTGAGCCATGCTGTAGAGTGGGTACTGTTATTATACTCAGTTCTCAGGTAAAGAAATTGAGAATCAGGCAGGTGGCAGGTCAAGTTCTTGGTGAAGTCCACATGGCTCATAGATGACGGGAGCCAGATGACGGGAGCCAGAAATCAATCTGTTTCTGATTTCAACCCACTATGCCACTATGTGACTATCCCAGTTGATCTTGCCAGTGGGGGTTCCCATAATTTCTTTTAAAAATTAATAAATAATATTGGACTCTTCAGAGTCCGAGACTATTTTTCCCAAAAACATTATGCGCCCTGCACTGTGACAGCTGTTTTTAGGGATAGAAAGGAAGTGGAAGGATTGTTGCTATTCCAGCACAAAGCATCCAGATGCTGGATTAATAAAAATCAACATACTTTTTCAATGCTTTGTGAGCTCAGGAGAGAATATGGAAAATCCCCAAGGGCCAAGGATATTCAGAGAAAGCTAAACTCATGGAGGGCGATGACGGCAAGTCCAGAGGCTGAGATCCAGGGGCAGAGGCTGAAACCTGGGACCCAGGGATTTGGGGATAAATCTGGAGGGAATAGGAAATGGGGCTGTGGGATATCCTGAGGAGGCAGAACACCCAGTGAGGGGTCAGAGGAGAAAGCCACTTGCTGTCAGAAGGAGCCACCAGGGGAACCGTGGGTCTCCAGCCCTCCTCTAGGCATGGGGTGGGGGAGGGGAGGAGTTGGGGGTGGGGGAGAGGAGTCTCCCCTGTGAATCTGTAACAAAGGCTTCCCCTAATGTGAGGAAGGAATCCTGAAGTACTAGCCTTTCAGTCAGGAAATCTCAAATTAAATTAAAATGGTTCCAGGTTGGTTGACTGTGCTGGTACATGACTGAAGCAAAGGCAAATCCTCTCCAGGGAAAAAATATTCTCAATCCGGGACCTCAGGATTTCCGCAGATGAAGTTCAGCCAAATAGGAGTTCTCAATTAAAATTTAAAAAGTCACTGAACACATAAGGAAGCAACGCAAGATGACCTATATACAAGAGAAACAAAAACAATGCATTAAAATCCCCAAAGACTTTAGATATCTGACTTATCAGGATAGAATGTAAAATAATGATTTATGAAATTATTAAAGAATTTAAACGTAATACCAAAATGATTTAAAAATTTTATTTGCTTGGAGAGCAATGTGATTCTAAACTTACATGTATAGTCATGCATCACTTAACGATAGAGATACGCTCTGAGAAATGTGTTGTTAGGCCATTTCGTTGTTGTGCAAACATTATAGAGTGGACTACACAAACCTAGACGGTATAGCCCAGTACACCCCTAGGCTATGTGGCACTAGTCTTGTGGGACCACCGTCATATATGCAGTCGGTCATTGACCAAAACATCGTGATGTGGTGCATGACTGTATTGTAATAAAAGACTCAAAAAAGCAAAAAGAAAAATTTATAAAACAACAGGGAGAAATTGATAAATCTATCATCATATTAGGAAATTTCAGCACACGGCTGTTTGTGGTTAATTGGTTGATCAAATGAAACACACATAAAGATACAGATGAACTGGATAGCACTATGAACAACCTGTATTTAATGTACATCTACAGAATCTCACAGCCAAATGTTAACAAATATATATTCTTCTTCAGCACACATAGGAACACTTAAAAAACAATTGACCATACAATATCATTTTGACTAACTTTTTGAAAAGGACAATTAAGTTTAAATCAGTTTAAAGAAAGATTATTACCAAAAGTCCATACTTTGAAAGTGTAAAAACCATACTTCTGAATAACTCATGGGTCAAAAAAATCATAACGGAAATTTAAAAATACATAGAATAGAAAAATAATGTCAATATAACATATCAAAATTTGCGGGATTCAGCTAAAGCAGTTTTTAGAGAGAAATTTATGCCCTAAACTTATATTAGAAAGGAAGAAAGGCTCACAATTAAGATCATATAAAAAGTTAGAGGAAATAACACCAAACGAACCTGGAGAAAGTCGAAGGAAGGAAGACAGGATAAATACAATTAAAAACAAAACTACCCTATAGAGACTCGAAAATGAAAAGTTAAATTTTTTGAAAAAAGTCTAATAAAACATACAAATCTCTGGGAGGACTGACCATAAAAAAAGAGATAAGGAACAAGTAATAGCAGAAGGTATAAAAAGCAACATAATATAGATGCAGGAGAGTTTCTAAAAATAAGAGAATTCTATGAACAACTTTATGTAGATGAATTTGAAATGAAATGGAAAATTTTCTAGAAAAATATAGACGGCCAAAATTGGCTCAAGGAGAAAAAAAGTCTGTATAATCTTATTAACATAAAAGAAATTGATTCAGTAGTTAAAAAATCTGACACACACAAAACACCTAATGCCGATAGTTTTATAGGTGAGCTGCACCCAGCTTTAAGGTTGCAAAGTTTTACAATCTCATACAAATTATTCCCGATGTTAGAAGAATAGGGAATATTCCTCATTTTATGAAGCTTGGATAACCTTCATACCAAAACCAGACACGAATCATATGAGAAGGAACAATCACAGTTCAGTCTTACTGTGAACACAGATGTACAATTTGTAAACAAAATATTAACAACATAATCCAGCCATCTACAAAAAATTTAGTACAAGACAGCCAGGTTGAATTTTTCTCAGGAATATAAGGTTGGTTTAACATTAAAACATCCATATACAAAATTTACCGGATTAACAGATAAAAGGAGAAAAGAAAAAACTCATATGATCATTTCAGTATATACAGAACAAGTACTTTATTGAATTCAACACCCAACCAAGAGAAAACTCCTTAGCAAATTAATAATAGAAGGAAACCTCTACAAGATATTTACCCCAAATCTACAGCAAGGGTCACTCTGCGAGGTGATTGGCGTGGGGAGGGGAGCACTGCCCTGAATTACAGGTGGAGAAGGTGAGGCCTTCAGAGGAAGGGCCGGTCTGCGGTGATGTATCGAGTCAGGGATAAAGTGAGACACTGGGAACTTCTGGCTTTCAGCTCACAATTCATCTGCTTGTCATAAGTGCCCTGAGAAACACCCTCAGTTTAGCCCTAACACACTTAATGTGTGTGGGGCTTTCACTTGAGACCACCCCGATTTCTGTTAGTAATTAGGTACACTTACAACGCTTACATTTTCCATTTTGTCTGAAAGCCCTTTTGAGTAACACCAAAGCTTCCTTATTCTCTAGTGTGTTTAGAAGAGAAGAGTTAATGTGTCCTGAGCTGGAAGCGACCGATAGTAAATCAGATGATGCTGTGTTGTTAAATTGGTGGTACGGCAAGGGGTAGATGCAATCGAGAAGATTTGCACGTGGAAGGAGACAAACCTGTTGTTTTGCTCTAGATATTAGACTTTCATTCTGCAATTTGATCGTTCTGGGAAAACCTCTTTCCCATTGGGAATGGGCTTTTAAGTTGTTAAAAGCCTTCGGGAGAATTAAAAAAGCATGAAATGAAATGCTTTGGAAAAAAGTGACTCCTAAAAAAACTATATCAAATACACCTCGTCTGATGGAAGATTTAGACTCGTTTTGTGAAAGTGGCGCGTACACAGGGCATGACTGAACCGGGGGCAAAGTGGCAATGACTGGCAAATTTGAATAGAATGGACTCACAACAGGTGATGTGCCCCAGACTCACTGTGCCCACTGTCTTGGCATTTCAGCTTACATTGCTGTGTCCCCCCTTCCCAAGCCTGACCCGGGTGTCTTTGTTCTTCCCTCTGGCTTACTGCCCAGTTGCAGCGAGTCACCCAGTCTTCAGTTCTGCCTGAACTCGCTCACTTCTGACTGCTGCTCCACAGCTTCACCTCTCTGACCAATCTAGACCTGAAAAATGAGAACAACACTGACAGTGGCTTACATTCATGGAGCTCCCGCTAAGTCCAAGGCATCGTGTTAAGTGTTTAAGCCTTTTGTGAACCCCACGATACTTTTATACCCCTTCTACAGATGGAGGAGTTGAGGCCTAGGAAGGTTCAGTCGTTTCACCAGGGTCCACAGCTGGAACACAGAGCCTACACCTCCTGCCTGCACAGCGCAGCTCCTGTCTGCACGTCAATTGCCACCTGCCTCCCTCTTTTCCTCCTCCGGTCCCCTCCACACTGCAGCCAGAGGAATCTTTCTGAAAAATAAAAATGATCATTGACAGCCCCATCCCCCAGCTCCAGATTTTAAAATCTCACCTCCACCACTCCCTCCCTCGGACCCTGCATTTTAGCCCCCTAGTCCTTCTGGATGCCCCCTGAACACTTAGGACGCATCCAGGCCTCCATTCCTTTGAAGGATCTCTGCCTAGAATGCTTCTGCTGCACCCCTTGCAAACTCCTATCCATATTCTAAGACAAGCCAAATGTCACCTCTTCCATGAAGCCGTCCGTGGTTCCCTTGGGCAGAGCTGGTCACTCCCAGCTTTGTGCTTAAATAACCCTCCAGCCTGAATCTCTGCGCTAGATGATGGCTGTTACCTGTCACTGTAATTGGGTTTGCACAAGTGTCTCCCACACTAGACTGTGAGTTTCCAGAGTCTAAGGGCCATGTCTCATTCAGCCTTGAATTCCTTGTGCCCAATAAAAGGCCTGGAACTATCTGTCTATCTATCTATCTATCTGTCTATCTATATATCTATCTATCTATCTATCTATCTATCTGTCTATCTATGTGTCATCATCATCTATCCGTGTATCCGTTCATTCAACAGGCGTGCTCACTAGAGATGATAGAGCTGAGACGGGCCCAGAGTCAGAGGAACCTCAAATCACTCCTCACTGGCTCTTGCCCAGCTCTGTGACTTCAGGAGATTTACTTATACTCTCTGTGCCTCAGCTACCTTATCTATAAAATGGGATAATAACAAATTCCTACCTTGTGCTGTTTTGTGACGATTAAATCAGTTAATTCATGTAAAGATACCCGAGTCCAGTCTGGCAGAGTGCAGGCATTCGGTAAACGCTAGCTGCCGTTGTTATCTTAAGGAGAATAAGACGCTGCTGCTCACTGTTACTTCCTCCTGGAGCCAGGCGCTGTGCTCCCTGCTGGGGGAGCGGCGACAAGCCAGCCACCATCCCCAGGTCCCTGCCCTCAGCATTTAAACTCTAGTGAGGGGAGCATTAAGGGAGAGAATTCCAGAAGCAAGTCTTGGACTCCAGTTGTGCTAAGTGGCAGGCAGATGTAGGGGTGCGGCAGGGGTTTGGGGGACAGGACTGACCCCTGGGAGGACTTGCCATCAGCAGCTTACAACCTGCAGGACACATTTCTACCTTATTTTCTATTCCTCACCTGGTACCTGGAGGATGAAAGTGTGACTCGCCAGCTCTCTGTGCTCTGCCCCGTTTTGGGAACACTGGCAGGTGCGGGTTGGAGCTGTCCTTCCCTACGTGTGGGCCGGGGGTGGCATCTCAGTGGAAGCGTGGTCCGTGTCCAGGCTCCTGGCGTGCTAACATCGCACTGTTGGAAACTCGTTAGTGCTGTTGGAAGCTCCGTGTTTGGTGATGTTTCCATTCATGGTGCAGGAACAAGAGGGATGGTCACAATTAGACATCTCCACATGGTAGAAGCCCCTGCTGGGAAGCGTTCAAAGGCTTCCGTGGCCCTAGGGGCAAAACCCTAGCGCTCTCCACGCTGTGACCTCGGTTTACCTCTCTGGCCATTTTTCCTTCTGTCTTGAGTTTTGAGTACTGTTTCTGAGCCTTTGAGGAGCTTTGAGACACTTTTGAGAATTTGATGCAAACTTTGGCTCCTCTGCAGAAAGACAGACCCTTTTGTACTTATTTTAGTATCAAGGACCATCATGAAGCCCATCCGAGGCCCTTTAGGATTAAATTCCACCCTCACCCTCCACACCCCCTCTGAGCACTGGCCAATCTGGTGAATAATGAGGTCAGTGTGTCTGCCTTCTACAAGGCTAGGGACGCTCCTGCCTAACCCCCTTACCTAAGCAGGCTGTGGACAGTCTCTTGTACCTAGATTATCTGATTCTGGTGACCTCAGGATGCAGATTTCTTCTTTTTGGCCAATAAGAGGCAGTATAGCCTTGTGGTTAAAGCCCAGAGCCAGCTGACCTGGCCTCAAATTCTGGCTCTGTCACTTAAGAGCTGCATAACCTGACAAATTGCTTTCACTCTGTCTGCCTCAATTTGCTCATCTGTAAAACAGGAAAGTAAGAGTATACATTCCCTAGGGTTGTTGTAAGAATTCAATGAGATGAACATATGTAAAGCACTTAGAGCATGCTGTTCTAAGCACACGTTGCTGTGAGTACCCTCAGTGTTAGCCGTGGTCTTCCTCCACGTGGATGCATGCTGGTGCCCCTCATGTGTCAGTGACAGGTGCCAGCTGCCAGGCACGGTGCCAAGTGCTACAGACAGATAGGGAGATGGAGACCCAGCCCTGCCCTCAAGGGGCCCACACTCTACCAGAAAGGGACACAACAGGGATTCCAGGCAACTGCAAGAATGGGGCATTATCTTAATCTGCTCAGGCTTCTATAACAAAATACCAACTGGAGGCCTTAAATGACAGACATTTATTTCTCACACTTCTGGAGGCCGGAAGTCCATGATCAAGGTGTCAGCAGATTCTGTTTCTGGTGAGGACCCTCTTCCTGGCTTGCAGATGGCCGCCTTCTCACTGTGTCATCGCATGGCAGAGAGAGAGAGAGCTCTGCTGTCTGCCTCCTCTCACAAGGACACTGATCCCATCCTGGGGGCCTCACCCTCATGACCTCATCTAAACCTAATTACCTCCCATAGGTCTCTTCTCCAAATACCATCCTACGGGAGGTTAGGGCTTCAACACATGAATTTTGAGGGGACGTAATTCAGTCCATAAGAGGCATATACAAGGGGTGGTGAGTGGGCTCAATAGAGAGGGAGTCCCGTCTCCCCAGAGACATAGGGAGCCCTTCACTGAGGAGACTCTTCTTAAGCTAGGCTTGGAAGAAGACTCATAATTGGCCAGGCAAACAGGGAAAGGCACTGGAGGTGGAGGGAGCAGTGTGTGCAAAGGCCCGAGGGTGTGAGAAATGGTGGTGCAGTCGCATCGCGCTATTGGCTAGATGGGGGAGGCAGGCAAGAGCAGGCTGTGCTAGGCTTCCGGTGCCATGCCAAGCAGGCCGGATTTTATCCTGCATTTATCCCACATGCCTTGTGTCCACCATCTGCCCTCTCTGTGTGCAGGAGCTCCAGGAGCTGGAGAGGAAGCTGGAGGACGAGCTGGCGCTCCAGGAGGCAGCCCAGCTGCAGCGGGCCCTGGAGAGTCGGCAGCAGTGGGCAGGCGACGGGCCTGGGCTCCTGAACGAGCCTGAGGAGACGGATTCCGAAAGGCAGGTCTCCGCTGTCCTGCGGCGAGCCCTGAGCAAGGGCCAGGAGTTACTGGAGCAGCACCAGCAGAGGTGAGCCGAGGGCCCGATGGCGCTGTGTGGGTTGAGTCCCCTGCAGGCCTGGGGGCACCTGACCGCTCAAACTCGGCTGCACACGGCCCCCTGGGCCCTCACACTGTGTCTGCTGTCCTCCCGGCTCAGGCCCCAGCTGCTAGCTTTGTAGCAGACCTCTTCTTCCCTGACTTCTTTCTATACTTCATTTTTTTCTTTATCATTGAGGTTTTACTGAACATAATATTTTCAAACTTTTTATTTTGAAGTAATTACAGACTCACAAGAAGTTGCAAAAATAGAGCAGAGGTTCCATGCGCCCGTCACCCGGCTTCCCCCAGTGGCAACATCTCACATAATCACAGCGCGTTACTCAAACCGGGAATCACACTGGTGCAATACAGGCCGCACTCAGAGCTCTCCGTGCACGTGGTGTTTTATATGCTGCTTTTGTAAAATTGTGAAACAGACAGAACCCTAATCTGCTTTTTTTGTTGTTCTTTGCATTCTTTTTCAATTAACACAGGACAATTAGCCTTTGCCCATGCATTCAGAACTAATTAAGAACATTCAGAACTCTTGGAAAACATAATTTTTAACAACTTCCTAATTTTCCACCGTGAATATAGTGTTGATGTGGAAAGGTTGGAGTGAAAACTCTATTCACAGTATGATTCCATTTTTGAAAACACACATGCATAGATTAATTGGAAGGACATAGACCAAGTTGCAATGGATATGATTTCCAGGCCATGAGATTACAGGTGATTTTAATTTATTTGATTATGCTTTCCTGTGTAAACACAACAGCAAAGGGGAATTCCATTTCATTGAAATAATTGTATGAGGAGCCGAATCTGTGTGATCAGATGGAAATGCTCAGAGATGTTGACTTTGACGTAGACCAGGATTTTAGGGCATATGATGCTGTACTCTAGACTTCATGGAGGAAATTGCTGATGGTCAAGCTTTTGATATGAGTTTGGGTTATATTACCTAGAAAGAATGCAGGGTGGATAATCCATAATGCCAACTTTAATCAACTAAGGAATCGGCTAGGCAGACCCCCCCCATGTGGAAGTCAGGAAGCCTGATGGAGACCCCATGTGAAAAGGTGCCACCCAGCCTCTGTAGGCAGAGCCAGGGCCATCCTTGGAAAATGGTTCTGGGTCTGCTTCCACACAAGGGCAAATGGTGGGTGAAGACCCCAGACCTTGGTCTTCTTGAGCACAGCTGTGACAACTAACTGTGGCTACAACTGTGGCTGCAAAGCCACAGCAAAGTCTCCGTATGGCTCCTACAAGACTTCTCCCTTTGAGGAGCCCTCAGTCCTGGTGGGCCCTCCCTAATGCATTATTGCAAAGTAATCTAGGCAAGAAGGGGTAAGCCTCTTCTGGCCATCTCTTCAATGGAATTAAAAAATAATAATAATGTAGATTAGATTTGTGATTCTTTGTTACTTAAATAACTAGATGGTCTTCTGATGGGACCACTTTATAACAACACTGGACTCATGTAGATTTATTTTCACTCTAGTTTGAGAGAAGAGCAAGAGAGCAGTGTCGTGCTTGAAGATTTGCTGGAGAACATGGAGACTGACACCTTTGTGACCCTGTACAGCCAGGTGAGAACATGTCAGCTGTGTTCTGGGTCAATCCCTTGCCAGCGCATCACGCGACCTTTTTCTGAGTCCGCGTTTCTTCACATGTAGGACGAGGATGATAACGTGAACCTCGAGAACTGCTGAGTAGATATGTAAAAACCCCTGGCACAAGGCAGATGTGATTAAGGTTCTAATGTAGAGGACATTTGATCGGGGGTAATGGCAGCAGCAGTGACACTAATAATTATTGCCTTGGTCAGTTTCTTTTCTGTGATTCGACAGGCTCCCATTCTTCCTCTTCTCAATCTTAATAAGTTTAATACACACGGAGTAGGTTCTACCAGGAACAAAACTGGTCGTTGGAATCCGGGCCACATTAAGAGGCCAATGGGATTGCACCCGTGTTCCAGCATTCCTGGGTTGAGTTGGGGATTTGTCTTATTCTTGGCCAGAGTCCCAGCTCTCACCCCCTTCCCGAGACAGGGCCCCGAGGCTGTGTGCACGGGGCCACGTGCAGTGTTACTAACCTGCGCCTGCTGCTAGTTGTGTTTTCTGTGCATCCTGAGGCGGGCTCCCTGGTTTCTGTAAGTCCCAGGAAACATGATTTGTGATGGTGGCTTATTCCGGTCACAAGCCACCTGGAGGCCGGTGTCGCTCACCTTGCTCCAGGAGTTCAGTGGTGTGAGGGTCACACCTTGTGGTTGTTTCCGCCTTTCCTTGCAGTTCCGGTCACTCTGTCTGTGTTCAGGTCAAGAAAGAAAAAGGTGTAAGAACACAGTCACCCCAACTGCCCTTTCTGTCCCAGAAAGCAGATGCCCCCAGGTCCCTGCAGCGGATTCTACTCACGTCCTGAAAACTGGCGCGAGGACCCCCGGCTTCAAGGGAGGCTGCGAGTCCAGTGGCTCCTCCTCAACCTCGAAGAAAAGAGTCAGCAGGGAGATGGGGGCCACTTTAGGCGTCCAGCCAGCAGAATGGACCACAGCTGTCCACAGGCGCACAGCTTCTCAGATGAGTTAGCTTCCTGTGGCTGCTGTAACAAATTACCACAGACTTAGTGGCCTGACAGAGGCCAAGTTTATTATCTTACAGTTCTGCAGGTCAGGATCCTACGTGGGTTTCACCAGACAGAAATCAGTGTCGGCAGGTTTGCATTCCTTCTGGAGACTTGAGGGGAGAATCTGTTTCCTGCTCATTCAAGTAACTGGCGGAATTCGGTTCATTGTGGCTATAGCACGGAGGTCCCCATTTCCTTGGTGGCTGTCAGCCGAGGGTCGTTCCCGGCTTCTGGAGGCAGTTGCATCCCTTGGCTCATGACTCCTTTCCTTCATCTTCAAAGCCAGCAAATCGCATCTCTCGAATGCTCCCTCCATCATCTCACATCTCTCTCTGACCTCCCACGGCAGGAAAGGTTTAAGGATCTCTGCTTCAAGGATCCATACGATGATGAGGTTGGACCTCCCGGATAATCTAGGATGATCTCAGCTTAGGACCTTGAGCCGTAATCCCATCTGCAAAGTCCCTTTGCCATGGAGGGTGACATATTCACAGGTTCCAGGCCCGGGGCATGGACATCCTGGAGGGTCACTATTCTGCCAACCACACCAAACAAGAAGCCAAGGTTAGCGCCAGCAGTGTCAGTGTCACTGGTGAATCTGACATGCTCCTTCCTCTTTGACGTGAGGGCTGGCCTGGGCTTTCTAGATGTTCACAGCGAGGGAGCACCTCCTCTGTGACAGGACCCAGGCGAAGTACCTGCCACTCATCTCACAGGCGGGAAGGTTCTGTCATCCTCCCCCATACAGACAGGTCCTGCAGAGGTGAAATTCCTGCCCAAGGTCACACTGAGGGCTAGGTGGAGCTGGGATGGGAGCCCACCTTCGTCCTGCCCCACACCTCTCGCAGAATCGCCTGAGCTCCAAAGTGGGGATGGGGGAGGAAGCCGGAGGTTCCAGAACACCTGCTGTGCACTGAGTATTGTCCTAGGTGCTGCCATCTGTTATTCATTTAATCCTTACAGAAAGCTGGGAAATGGGGACTATCTTCTCCATTTTATGAACAGGGGAACCAAGGCTCAGAGATGTGGCATGACTGCACGAGGGTCGCCGCTGCTCCTTGGTGCTCAGGATTCAGCCCGGGGTGCTGGCTACGCAGGCCTCACTCTTTCTGCTCGGTCCCTGCAGGCAGATGATGCCCCTTGCCTGGGTAGCTGTGGTAACTGGGCGTCTCCCACACTGACCTTGGCTTCCCCTCTTTCTTCTTTGTTACTAAGAGACTTGACAGAAGGCCAAAGTGTCATGTGTGGAATTTCATACAGGTTCGTTTCTAGTTTGTTGGCTCTTTTAAGTTGTGAACTCTCCTAAAGAATTGGCCCTGTGAAGAGTAAAACGCTCCTAGAATAGAAGCCCTGGGCAGCAGGGACCAGTCAGGGTGGTTGTTTTTCTCTGACCCTCCCCCTACATCCCATGCCTTGTAGAGTTCCCCCAACAGTACCTACTCAACTGCATGTCTTTCTTTCCAGCCCCTGTGTATTAGTGACAGTTCTCCAGAGAAACAGAACCAAAAATCTTGTATATATATATAGAGAGAGAGTTACTTAAAGGAATTAGCTCACGTGATTATGGAGGCTGGCAAGTGCACATAGGCTGGCAGGATAGGCCGGAAGCCTGGAGACCTGGGGAAGAGCTGAAGTTGCAGTTCAAGTCTGAAGGCCATCTGCTGGCAGAATTCCCTCTTGCTCAGGGGAGGTCAGTATTTTGTTCTATTCATGTCTTCACCTGATTGGATGAGGCCCACCCGTGTTGTGGAGGGTAATCTGCTTTCCTTAGAGTCCACCAATTTAAAAGTTAATCTCATCCAAAAGCACCTTCACAGAAATATCCAGAGTAATGTTTGACCAAATATCTTGGCACCATGGCCCAGACAAGCTGACACGTAAAATTAACCATCACACCCTGTCTAGAGAAGTCCCATATTTTGCCTATTTCCTTTTTGTACCAAGCAAAAGAAGAACCAAGGAAGCCCAGTCCTCCCTCCCTCCCTCTCTCCCTCCCTGCTGCTGCTCCTCCTCTTTCTAATTCTCCCTCCTCCTGTTCCCCCTTTTCCTCCTCTCTCTCCTGTTTTATTTCCTGCTGAGACAACATAGTTGGAATAGAATGTAAAATCTGCATGAGGAGTTTCCACATTAGCACCCGTGTCTTCATATTTATGCAACTCCTCCTTTTTTGTATATTTATAACAATATCAGAATAACACTCCCAAATGCCTACTCTGTGCCAGACACATATCACACACCATCCTGGTTAGTGCTCACCACTGCTCTGGGGACCCTGGCAGTGGGAAGAGCCTCCCTTGGGCACTGCTCCAAATCCATCAGCCCTTCTGTGATGATGACGATACCAACGGCAGCTGATGCTAGCCCAGCGTTGAGGAGAGGCGTGGATGGGATTATCATTTGACAGATGAAGAAACTGAGGGTCAGAGAGGTGATACAACTTAGCTAAGGTCCCACAGCCAGTCATTGGTGGACCTGGGCATTAAGTCAGGTTTTCCTCCCTTTAAATGCTCTACTCATTCCATTTCATGCTACTGCACACAATTCCCTTTGAAGCAAAATATTTCCTCGTTGCTTCATGAATAAAATGGGAAGGGGGTACTCCTTTAGAAATGAATGATACTAACTCAGGAAGGCAGGAAGCTGTCCTGTGCTGTGGGGAGAGGCTGGGGCCCCATCTGTGGTCCTCACTGAACTCACCGCCTTTACTCCCTCAAGGCTCCAGTGTGACGGCACCATTTGTAGAGAACGGAATGGAATTCTTTCTTAACTTAGAGTCAGCTTAACTCCAAAGACCCTGACCTCCTCTGAAGAGGCTTCGTTCATGAATAAATATTTACTGTGCTCCCTGCAAGTGACAGGCACTGGCCTAGCCGCTGGGATTTCAGCACTAAATGAAACAGATAAAGTCCATGCCCACAGGAGCTGGTATTCTAGGGGCAGAACAGGCGATCAACAAAATACATACATAAACCAAATAGTATTTTCTGTGGATTATGATCTCATTTTTATTTTTTTTATTTTATTTTTTTTTAATTTTTTGTTTATTGCAGTAACATTGGTTTATAACATTGTAAAAATTTCAGGTGTACATCATTGTACTTC